TTGCGATATAATTCTGATATTCCGGGAGTAATTATTATTAATTTCTACTGGAGTCATCGATGATGATGAAATAAATTTTAGTAATAATTATAAAATTAGTCTTATCTCTGTTTTTCTATTTGACTTGTGATTTACGTTTGAATGATTTAAAATCAAACTATATAATTTATTTTTATTGACTGCTTGTAGAGTTGTTTTAATTTAACAAATTTAATTTAACTGATAAGAAATAGATAATCATCTTTATTCTGAGACAAGGTCCCTTAAGAATAACAATATTGTTCATACAAATTAACAATAAATCTGGCCAAAAGACCTATTACAATAAAGAATAACTAAAGTATAAGTAATAAAATAAGTATATACATAGCTCTTAGGATATATTAACGAAAGCAGATGGGTACTAGGGTTACAATACTACAATATTGGTGCTAAGACAATAACATAAAAATAACTAAATGAAATTAGAAAGGAACGATAAATAAATTTTATAGGCAAACCATTGTAGTAATAATATATATATATATATATATAAAAAAACTAGTTTAAATTAAATGATTTACATCTGTTCCTTAAGAAGTTTAAGTGAATACACATAAAGATATTGTGAAGAACTTGACAATTATTATGATCTACCTATCAAGCGATAGATTATTAGGAGAAAAAAATATATAAACACACACACACACGCACACATAGAGAGGAGTGTGGCGAAGATATGTAAAAATTAAGTACATCTCTAAGAAATACAATCTTATGAATAGGAGAAGTAGTAGTTAAGAAAAACAAAGTATATCTACTCACAATGCTCTGTGATAGGTGATGGGGAATTGTTTTCCATATTCAAAACAGAATCGAAAAAAAAATGTTTAAACAAAATTAACATCTTGTTACATAATAAATACTTAGCGAGCATCTGATTGAATTGTGAAGAGGAATTGGAATAAGAGGATTTTAAATGTGGATGCGGAAGGTGCATGGCGGATTTTTAGTGGAATACTATTCCAAAATGCAGTGGAACGGGCAACAATGGAATTTTAAAATGAGGCAGATCTGTGGAAAGGGGTGTAAAGGTCAGAAGGGCGAGATCTTGACGAGAGAGAAGAGTGTAGAGGATTGGGATAGTCGTAATGTGTGAAGGATTAATGAACGTAAATTTTCAGACTTTTTATTTATTTTTTTATTATGATCTTTGGGTCAATTCCTAATATTATTGTACTATAAAGGAGGTAGCTCAATACTATGTGCCCCCAATTATTTATACGATGATTCGCCAAACATGCCGGGTTTGAAATACTATTTCATCCCATAAAGGTAACTTGAACATATTTTGATAAAGAAAATTTAAAATCTATAATCTGCAGTAAATATGTCAACTACGAACGCCTAGCGTTGTACCACATGGTAGTCATAGTCGAGTGTTATGTAATGAATTTTTATTTAATTCGGAAGATTTTTTTTCTCACGGTTTCCTGGCGTTTGTTAAGAGTTCAGATGTCCCCAGATAAGTTTATAATATTCAGGTATATGTACCATATTTCTAAACTTGATAGCAAAGCAGATATAATTTTCACAAAGTATGAAGTTAATCTCTCCATCTTCCTTTTTTGTTTTGTTTTTAATTGTTTAACTATTTCTAGAAAATGGACTCTTAGAGGAATTATGAATTTTTATTTTTTTTTTTAATTTTGACAACCTTAAGACCATATATTTACAGAGTCAACGTTTATTTAATTTAAGTCAAAGTTTCTTTAAAGTTCAGATAACCTTTCTAAGTGCTCTAGCTATTATCCCACTGAATCGTATCTCTAAAATAGATAAGGATGGCGTTTGCAAGGCTCATAGTTGCAAACAGTGTGAAGTTAGCCCTGCTTAGAATTATAACTTAAGACAATAGAAATATTTCTACAAATTATAGGGGAATCTTAAGATGTGTACACTCTAGGAAAGTCTCCAGCAATCTTTGTACGGCCTATTTAATTAATCGTAGTCAAGATTGGTGTAAGATATAATTATATGTTAAAGTATATATATAAATAAAACAAAGATTAAAATAAAAAAAAATGTTTCTTCAGATTCTATTTATTTCGGATAAAATATCGTCGTATTCTTATCATGTCATATATAAATTAGTAAATATTTAATTGATTAGAATTTGAAAAATAATTATTCGTTAAAGAATAATTAGTTAAAAGATAATTTGATGGAATGAGTTTTTGGTATTTGGTAGCACAGAATAAAATCATAAAATCAAATCTCTCAACCTTCCATCTCAACAATCACAAACAATTTATTTATTTTTTAAAAATTAGACTAACGTATTGTAATTTTCCTTGAATATGTGATTTAATTTAAGTGTATAAACGATTGTTCGCTATTTAATAGTCTTCACAAGGCCCGTTATTTTTTTTTTTTGTTTTTTTGCTGAACCGATCCTAAGTGTTTCCGTCAATTACAATAAAAGTGCTGCCTAGGCTATTGAAAAACTCTTCTTTCACACTACAGCAAGATTTTCGCTATTTGTTACCCCGTTAAGCTTTCCTTTATTAGTTTGCTACCCTATTAATTCTCTTAATATAATATAGGTTCCTAGGTCAAGATTGTTTGTAATAAAAACAGTTATCTCATTTGTTTCAATAATTTAACAAATATAAAGAACATTTGGAAATTCATAGAATCAAGTTGAATATATGTATTTAGGTATTTGTATTTAGTGACTAATAGAAATAGGAACAGTGAAATATAAAGAGTTATTGCGGGCTCTACCTAATCTTACTGCGCCCTCTTATGATAAAAACGCCCCCTACCAATGGTATGGAGCATAATTACACTCATAATAAATAAGTAGTCAGTGCTTTAAGACAATTTTTTTTTCATTTTTTACTTTCCTACCTATACTAAGTACGGAAAGTATTGCAATCGGGTCAAATTTCCGATATGCGATTTCGACGGATCTATATATTTCAGAACACCCTGAGTCCGAAAAACACATTTGTAGCCATTGGTCTGTCTGTACCAAGATTTTCTCGAGAACTAGTGGACCGATTTTGTTGCTTATTTTTTTATTTTGTAGGGTTTTTACTCCTGATGCCTGTGACACAACAAATTGAGTGCTACACGCGGAATAGCTACTGCGCAATAAATGAAAAACATGTTTTTCTATATACTGTAGAGCGCGAAAACGGCTCTAACGATTTTGATGAAACTTTCCTATAATGTTCTAATAATTGTTCTTTCAATTTTCACACATGGACTAAATTCCCGAGAAAAAAAAGTTATAAAGAAAAGAAAAATGTTTTCGAGCCTAACTCGCTAATTATATAGTCTACGGTAAAATTTATAATAAAACTTTAACTGGTAAATAAATTACCAACAAAAAAAAAAAGATCATCGGGATCGAACCAATATTAGCGATGATACAGAATATTCTATTGTCTACAAATGTTTAATTTATTACTTTACTACCTATACTAGGTAAGGAAACTATTGCGATCGGGTCAAATTTCCGATATGCGGTTTTCGACGGATCTATACACCGTTTAGCCTGTTTTTTGAAAGATAATGAAATTCCCTACAAAACTATATAAAAACCGTTCATTTCGGACAACTATTAACGAAGTTACAGCTATTCAACTTCCAATGTACGATTATGGGTACATATTCTGGTGTCTGAAAGGGATGAATGAGAGAGAGAAAATAACTTATTGAAAGTGAGAAAATCTGTTGCTTGCATCACACAAGCTTCACTATTATCACCTCTATTTTTAATAGAAATTATTGTTTGACAAAATTAGGCTATGGCAAAAAGTTTTTGATCAGCAATATTAGAGGGTATTGAAATTTTTACACTGATCTACCTAAAGCCGGTTTACATTGCTTTAGTTCATCAAATAAATCTTACTCAAATCCTTTCTTTGATCAATTTTCAGGAAAATAAATTAATTCAACTTTTTTTGTTTCTTGATGGACATATGCAATGATATAAAAACTTTTCTGAAATAGGTAGGAAAGTCGTGTGAGCGGACACACCAGATTTCTTAAAAATGTCTTTGCATTGTTCCTCGCACAACCTCTGTGCTCTAATGCGTCACAGCGGTTGCATTGGTGCCAATCAGGAGGGGTAAGCTAAATTTTTCCAACATCTTATATCAGCATTTTAGGCAATTTATTTCGAAACATCATCACGCATAATTATATCATAAATTAACTCGTGTTATGAAATTCAAAAAGTAGGGAAAATGTTTTTACTTTAACTACAAAAAGAAAATTAATTTCTTGAAATTTTTTGCTTCCTAAATTGTACAGACTGGGAAAACTGCCTTCTTTGCCCCTGCCTAGTGCTGGCCCCGCTAATAGTTATGTTACATTTTATTAGGTGCGATTTAAAAAAAAAAATGAATAGCCCATCATAAAAAGGAATAGACGATAAACATCCTTTACGCCAATTTTTGTTTTCGTTTGGATTAAAACCAGGTGATATACAATTTTGTCAAATAAGGTTTTAAGGTGTTTTCTTGTTCTCTGCATTAAAGCAAAATTACTCTCATGGACACAGACAACTGTCCTGATAATATCTGTATTACTCACTAATGATCTATTGCAGGTCTCCAATCACAATTATTGAGTTCTATACACTTAGATCCTTTAGTGCATGGTTCCTCTTAATTGATAATGTATTTAAAGGGGTGTTTATTTTACATCTTAAAAATCAATTATAAAAGTTACTTTCATAATCATTTGTCCATTCATTTAATACAAATTAACTCTGAACCATTAATTTAGTTTTTCTGTATGATAATAATGTTTTATAAATCTTTTAAGTTTTAGTGTTTTGTGTTTTTTTCTGCTGTATGGTAATGTTACTGCTGTTTTTTGCTAAGGCAAAGTGACTTCAAAGTTGAAATGTTATGTTTATATATAATATTATTAATGTGCTGAATTAATGAGGTTATTAAAGCTAAAAATATTTGAACTTAACATTGAAAATTTGTTTGCTGTAGGGTACACTGTCGTTAGAGCCTTGCTGGTTGATCTTGCTGAACGTTGACCCACCCTGGGCCTTCGCTCTCTAACAACGGCACTGCTGATCTAATTTAGGCACTACCCACAATTAAAATCAAACACGGGAAGCTGCCTCGTAAGTATATATTAATAACAACTTATGATTTTATCAACAGTTTATTGACTTTTGGATTTAAATTTACAAAGTATATATATAATATGTGTGTGTTTCTATTAAATCATTTTCTTATTCTAGATAATGAAAAATGCTCCGTACAAAATTAAATAAATATATAAACTGCATATTAGGCATGTGTTAATATAAAAATTTGCCTTTCCAACTTAATATGTTAATCTCGTGGATTAACATCAAGTTCCTTGTTTTATAGTATTTCATTTTTTAGGTATTTATTTTTTAAATAATGTTACTTTTAAACATTTTGTTATTTACAATTTTTTAATGAAAATATTTTTTATATTGTTAGTAAAAATTGTAACTCTTTAAACAGTCTCAGAACTTTTTATTTCATCAAATTGAAAAGCTTATATAAATATATTTAATTTATTTGCGCAAAATGAATTTATCAAAAGTTATAATTTTGTTGGTGTTTCTCTTTTACTTTATTAGTTCTTTAATAACTGTTACCTGTATTCCTAATAACTAATAACTGTATTAGTTTATAGTTTATACATTTTTATAAATCTTATTTCTGCCTTTATAGTTTGCTCGAAGGCCCGAAAAACAATTTTGTCAGCTTTAAAAAACAAGAGCTGTAATAACAAGGATAATAAAATATGAAAATCGATCAAGAATATATTAGAGTTGTGGGCAACAACATCAGCCCTAAGGACATCATTAGAGCAATAACAGATACTGGAGTATGCTATTTATATATTTGTTAGAACCAAATTAAAAGAAATTTAATTTATCTATTTTTTAATTTTGTAATCATTTCTTTAGAAACAAGATGAAGCATTTTATGTGATGAATGTTGGGGAAGTTATAAGGAAACATGAATTATGGCTCAAAACATTTCCAAAAATCAAACCTTTCTATGGTTAGTATCTGGTAGTAAAACATTATATTTGTAATTTCATAGAACTAAATGTTGATATTCATAATTCAAAATCTAATGTTATAGTAGTATGATAATTTTTAAAAATTATATTCATTTGTAGAAATAATATAATTTTTAATTTCTTACTTAATCAAGGCTTGTGCATTTATTAATTGTCAATATTTATCAATTAAATTATAAAATATTTTGTTTTATTAATAAAATAGTCTATAAATTTGTTATACAATTTTTTTTAATTTATTTATTTTTTAGCTGTCAAATGTAATGATAGTAAAGTTGTTCTCCGTTTATTGGCTGCTCTTGGAACTGGATTCGATTGTGCCTCAAAGGTGATAATTATACTATAATAAAATTATAATTATACTTTCTTAATTTGAACACACCTGGTATTCTTAATATTTCTTAAATTGATAAGGTCTGTCTCTTTTTGTAGGGTGAAATATCAAGGGTAATGTCTCTTGGTGTTCCAGCTGAGAGAATAATATATGCAAATCCAGCTAAGCCATCTTCACACATAAAATATGCTGCCAAGGTGGGAGTAAACCTTTTGACGTTTGATAATCAGTCAGAACTTTTCAAGATTAAGGAATTGCACCCAAAAGCTAAGTAAGTATTTATTTTCCCTTTTCTAATTGTTTGTGAGGATATATATTTGAAATCTATTTGAATTTTTATTAACTGAACTAAAATAAATATAATGAAAGTATTTACACCTATTTAAATACATAATTTCAGTTACACATATCCTATAGATTTGGTGCATGACTTATAACTTGCTGTTTATCATTGTGATACTTGTTGGTGACAAGAGTTTTGATGTTATAACACAAATGGAACATTGAATGGCATAGAACTGCTTGTAATCTCAAGCTCATATTCAGTTTAATTCCTGAAATCACTGTTAGACTACTATGGTTTTAGGTATAAGAATATTAATTTACTAGGTTTATTTATTGCTTGACAGTCTTTTTAGAATCAATTTGACTTGATAGATAAAGTTTGCCTTGTAGAGTTCCAATAGTATTGATTCATAGTTAAGTGATATCCTTTGATGGAAAATGATTGTGAAATTTGCTGATGTCTTATCCCTTTCTAAATTGTGTAGCTGAAGTTACTGAATGTGTCAGGATATTGGGTATTCATGAGGACCCTGCAATATGAGAGCTCCAAGTTAATTTCTATAAGAAAATGCACTTGAAAAGTGGGCCATTTGCAGGCAGGAGAGAATTGCAGTTCTTCTGAGTCCCCAAAGATGAACAGATGCATGTATTGGGAGTAAGTGCTTTTCAATCAGCAGTTTCTAATGCTCTAAAACTGAATATCAATCCATACTTCAATTCAGGGTTACCTGTGTCAGAGGACTGGTGAGATAATTTGGTCCCTCCTTCATTGCTAATGTAACTGACTCTTAAACATAAGGTGATGTACAAGGAAAGAGTCCCAACAACTCGTTTCTCATAGGAAACCGTCACCACAAAGAGTCAATAATTAATTTATGAACCTCCTTCAGAGAAAAAGATATAAAGAAAATTTTCAAAGAAAATCTATGAACTATGCAGGCATTGTAGCTTTCCTTAACACTGCAAAGTCAGCAATGATGCTGGATACTAGAATATGTTATTAAGGCCTAATATGTTCTTGGATTCTCCTGTTTGAGGATTGTAGTGATGTAGTTAGCCTCATTAATAATTTCATTCTTTTGAATGAAATGAATCTCATTTCATTCATCTGAATGTTTGTAATTATGATTATTAATTAGATTTTGATGGTGTTTATTTAAAATTAATAGTAAGATAGGTTATAACAATAGATCCTTCTTGTTCTTCTGTTGGCATAGTGGGTGCTTTATGAAACTGTCCATCACTCTATATTATTAATACTTATTAAACTGTTTAGTACATAGAAAAATTGTTTGTATTGTCATAAAACATTTCTAAGGAAAAGGTGTAATTTATCTTTTGAAGGATGACATAAGGAGATATGAAGTTAGATATTATTAGTATATTTCGTAGTGTACATAAGTACATTTTATGTTATAAGTGCATTACAAATATATTAGTAAAGTCTACTAAAGATAGCTACAGTTATAACATTCTATTATTACTTTTTTTTTGTCTATCCCTTCCTTGCCTTTTAGGCTATACGGGAATTTTCCCAGTTAGAGGGTGTGAGATTAATGGCAGAGTTAAAAGCTCTCCTGGCACCAGGATACGAACTCATAAATTTTTATTTATGTTTTGCACACGCATTAGCCCTCTCGGCCACCCAAATGGTCAGTCATCACTAGTCTGGTTTCTTCCTAGTATATTTGTGAGAGAGGACCTAATGGCAACATAAGTTCACACATGTGAGAGAAAAGCTCAAGAAATATCAGTAGCAAATGGCTGAACCAAGTAAATAAATACAGTATTTTCTTTCATAATACTATATCCAAGACTCATCAGGAGCTATAGTGCATTATTCATACCAAATTCTTGAACAAATTAAGATTTGGCTTATCCTCCACTCCAGTTCAGAAGCCCTTTTTCTTGAAAATATATAATTACAAAATTTAGCAAATTTTTAAAACATTTTCCTAAGAAGTCATAACTATAATAATATTTAATTTATTAAGGCTATCATATCAGAGAATAAAATGAACCACGGATGATCTTAGGTCCCAACACTTGGTTAGCATCAGGAGCGTCTTTCAAACCAAAAAATCAATCAACGGCTGATAACATTAGAATATTATACCCTTTTATTGTCTTAACTATACTTCAAGGCTTTATGATCTTGTAAATCCATCAGAGGATGAGCTGTTTGTTTAATTATCTATATAACTTTTTCCACAATTAATCCATATTAATACTGATTATTTTAGGATTAGAAATTTTATTTAGATAATTAACGTGGTTTTCTTTATTATTAAACCAAAATCATTTTTATAGTTTTTTAATTTAATATTAATTAATTGACTATTATTTTCTCATTCAGTTTTCATTTTACCTTACGTATGAGTTTATTTATCTAAAAAATTTAGTCTGTATGTGTATTATCAAACTTAAATGTGTTTCAGGTTGGTGCTGAGAATCCGATGCGATGCCAAAGATTCACAGTGTCCTCTTGGTATGAAATTTGGAGCTGATAAGTCATCCATCAAAGCTTTGATTCAACTGGCATTGGAATTAGGTTTAGAGTTAGCTGGTGTGAGTTTCCATGTTGGTTCAGGTTGCAGAGACTTAGCTGCATTTTCTGAAGGCGTCTTAGCTGCTTGTGATGCACTAACAGAAATGGTTTATTGTGGTGCAGACCCATATATTCTGGACATAGGTGGTGGTTTCCTAGAATCAACTATACACAAAGTGAGTATTATAAATTAAGTAAGAGGTCATTCTAGATAGATGAAGTCATTCTCATCATTATAAGTAAATCATTTAGCCAAGAACTTTATGGCTGGAGCTTAGCCATGAAATTATGCTCGAGAAGAGAAAATCCCTCTTTCTCCCTCTGAATAACTTCTGACAACTAACTTGTGAAATATACCGTCTTTTTTTTTTTAACGTTTTGATTTGTTTTATATCTTTTCGGTCGTATGTGTTAAGAATTCACATGTTGATTGTTATTTCAATAACTACAGGTCCAATAAGTACATGTGTAGTAAAATGTTCCGTCTTAAATTGTTTACCCATAATATGATTTGATTTCTTATCATATAATTGCAAACAAAAACAAAAATTCTGTTTCTTGAGGCTACTTTGAGCTTTGAGGTTTACATGAACCCAAACTATAATAGTAGTGAGAGTATAGTAAAGTATACCAGGACCTAGTAATAATGCTATTACCTGTTGTTGAGATTATGAATTATGTCCATCCTTTCATAAAGAAGTATTTTTAAACATTTTTTTGTTCAGTGGGGCTGTCTAAGTTAACTCCTTGTTCCCTGCTGGTTCCAAGTTGTCCTAAATAACATTACCTAAAGTAAAATAAAAAAGAAACATTCCATATTAACACGGTTTTGTGTATGGTGGATCCAGATAAGGTGGGCTCTGCTGTAATTTGTTTTCATGATTCCTTCATTTCATGAGTCTATCAGTATTACCAAATGAAAAGAAGCTCAGTGGGAGAATAGCAATTCCACATAGGGTATTATTATGTACTTACATTTATGTTTTATATTATTATTGAATAAGCTTTTGTGTTTCATTTGTATATTGAGTTAATACAATTTTATCTAAGTTATAAATATAAATATATAATATTTCTTTACCTTTTATGTTATAAATGTGATATTATTTAATACTATTATTGTTAATTTTAACACTTTTAGGTGTCACTAAGTGTTAATGAAGCCCTTGAATCAGTTCCACATGGTATATCTATCATAGCAGAGCCAGGTCGCTACTATGTCGACTCAGCATACACCCTTGCTACAGCTATTCATGGAATACGTGGAAAGGAATACTATATCAATGATGGTGTTTATGGCAGCTTCAATTGCGTTTTATATGATCATGCAAATCCGCTCCCTATACCCCTCAAGGTAATTCACATTCTCCATTGCTTACAATAGATCTGTTTTAAAAAATAATGTATTTTGTCAGGATTAACATACAAGGATTTAACTGGCCTGGAAAGATTTTTTTTTATTCAGAAAATATTTAATAAATAATAAATGCCCGACACGTGTAAATAATTAATGAATATTTTAACATAAAATATTTATTATATATTTATTCTATATCAAACCTTTGACTGGGAATTCAATTTTCCATTAAGAAGTCCAATTCAATATCCAATTCTAGTTCCATAGGAAAACTACTTATAATAAAAGATTATATCATAACAAATACACACAACTTCATTACCAAACACCCATTCAACTTGTGTTTACTCATCACAAAACATTAAATTTGTAACAATAATTTTTTTTAAAGAACTCAGTTGTTCTTACTTTAGGAGGACATTCCTAACTACTTCTTCTATATATCTAGTGGGAGAAGAATTTGTTCTCATAGCATAATGTCCTCTGTTTTCCTTTCAATATAGTGATTGAAACTAGACACTTCATCTTCATGTTTAACTATCTTTTTCTTTTCTTTTTTTTTTACAAAAAAAGGTGAGGAATTATTAAAAAATAACCATCTGAGACTGTATGTTCATGTGTGCGTGAAAATTAGTTACTTGCATGATTATGTTGTTACAATAAAATAGCAAAGTATCCCAAATTTTTCTGATGCATATTTATAAAAATAATTAGCATTAAAGAAAAATGGTTGGAATAGAGCTGTCATGATACTGTAGACATGACTACTTCAGGGACTGCCAGTGCCTAGGTCATTCTGTTAAGTATTTTATATTTTTAGCTTAGAAAAGTGTTCCCAGCTTCAAAAATTCCATCTAAAAAATATCTTTCCGTTTTTTTTTTGTTTTTTTTACCCATCTCTGAGTTAAAATATTTAGTTTAAAATGCATTTTATTAGCTTAAATAAAAAAATAATATAAGCTGGTCATAAAAATATAAAAACAACACATAAATGAGTAATTTTGTTTCTTTTTAATTTAAATTAAAATGAGTTAAACTTTTTAAAAAATTTATCCTGTCAACTTTGCTTGTCGTAGTCTTGTTAGTGGCGATAAATCAGAGAGGTTTTCTGGTAGGAAACTCTGAGTGCCATGTGAACTCAAGAATCTTTGAGGCTGTTCTCAAGGATGCTAAGAACAAATAGAAAAATGCTACAGTCACATTCTTGGATGTAACTGGAGCATTTGACAATATTGGTCATGGCCATATTTGGAAGTCCTTGGAAGCTAAGGGTGGTTCAGCTGGCCTAAGAAAAAGAATTGAGAGTCTGTTGTTTCACAATACCATAAGAATTTATAAAGGGGTCAACAAAACTGACCTTATCAGTGTTTTGAGAGGAATACCACAGGGTGGACCACTTTCGCCAGTATTATTCAATTTGACTATGGACTCATTATATAAAGTGCTCTGCGACCCGAAAGTTGCAGTAGACGGATACAAATTGGATCATAACCATAACCCTGTTTTACTTGCAGGTTTCACAGATGACCAAGTAGTGGCCGCTCACAATGTTAAAGCTGCTGTTACACAATTAACTGCATTCGCAAAATGCTCAGCGAGTTGGGATTATCTATTAATCCTCCATAAAGTTCCGGAATTATCTTAAAGAAAGATAAGTTGATAAGATCTAAGTTCTGTTAGGACACCGGGGAGGTAATAAGTTCAATTGAAGAAGGAGACACTATGAAATACCTTGGGTGCCTTTTCTCCGGTAAACCAGAATTTATGATAATTCTGTTAGTAGGGTGAATTGTAATCTAGAAAAACTAGTTAATTCAAACCTCCTTAAGCCGGAGCAGAAGATTAATGTAGTATATGGATATGTATTCCCTGCTTTAATATATCCGCTGCAAACAGCGCCATTGGCGAAATTGCCATCATCACTCCTGGAATCAATAGACGTCATACTATGAAGAAGTGTGAAGGCCATGGTAGGTTTACCAGCCAACATGTGCTCTGCTATGATGTATGCACCGCAGTGATACAGGGGCCTGGCTCTTTTGCAATGTCAGTGGGAGGCTCCTTTTCAGCACTGGTCTATTTCCCTAAAATTGACCAATGTACCTCCAGGTGATTTTTGATTTTGGGAACAAAGTTTGACAGTGTGCTGACCAGTTAGATTTTGATGCGATAATATAGAAGCGTCAATATTAGTGAAGAAAGTTAGGCAGTCCCTGAGGGAAAAGTCATTTGAAGATTGGAGCAAATGCAAGTGGCAGGGAATAGTGTCCATTTAAAGTCAAATCAACGATGAGCAGCAAGATCTCAAGATACAAATTGAGAAAGAGAAAATATATGAAAAATGCATTCTGTACCTGAAAGAGAAATATAGAGAGGAATTTGGAGAGAGAAATTTTTTGGTACAAGGACTTTGGTTTGGAAGTAAAGGGGCAATTCCTCTTTCGGCTAGTTTTTTGAAAAATCTAGGTGTTGAAAGAAATTAGATACTGAGTATGGTGGAGTCCATTATTTTGGACTCACTGGGAATCCTGCACCATCACCTCTATTATATCAGGTCATTGCTTTATGGATCCGGGAGGCAGATTGAGAAGAATGAGGATGAGAAAAGGAAAGAAACAACAAATGACATTTTTATATACAAAGTGTATCAAGCTGAATTGCTAAATATTGTCACATCAGTTAGATTAGTATGCTGTGTCAGCAACTCACCACAGTTGAGCAGCATTACAATTTTATAGTTCTCTATGAATTTAATAGATTAAAGTATAAATTGAATATTTTCAGAATTATAAAAACTCAATTCCAATGGGATTTTTTAAATTGTATATTTGGTATTCTGCAAAGATAATAAAATTTATTATGTAAAAAATGAACTGAAAATATAGCTACTTACTAACTTTATGATCATTAGATTCTTTCTAGCAAATAAAAATAGTGGTTAGTTTTGAAGTATAGTCGAACCTTTGAATCCGGAACACAAAGGCCCATTGAAAAAAATTCAATACATAATAAGATATTTTCCGAATGTCCATTGCTTTGTGAAGCGACTTGATTTGTAATTAGAAAAAAAATTTCTATACATAGCAAGGTCTTTTCCAAATTTCCATTGCTTTGTGAAGCAATTTAGTTTTTAGTTATTATCCATTATTATGAACGAAAATTTTGGACCCTTTTTAATGGAGATTATATTTTATATTTCTTTAATTGTGATTTTTTATTTGATCTTTAAACATTTTATACAATTTACAGAATATTTTTTCTAATAAAATGAAAGCTCCTATTGATCATTGATTTATGAAATTTTTTATATACAGAGCTTTGACTGTTTTATATATGTGTTTACATTTTCTATCCAAGCTTTTAAGTTCCTAAAAAACAATAAAAAGTAATTTCTTTTTTAAAATGATGATTACTAATGAAAGCTTATTGGAAATTAGACTATTTTAAAATTAACATTTAAAATAAAGAATGAATTCCATTAAAAAAAATGCTAGATCACACATTCCAAAATGTTAAGACTTTTATTGTTTATTTGATAGTTCATACAATTACATAGTTTGATAAAATTATAAACAACTTCATAAGTTACAAATACAATTTGGTGCGGGCTATCTTCAACATTCTAAAATTTGATCTTAGATGTTGGAATCTAAGACTCATATAAAAGTATTATTGTTAAAGTATAACCATACTAGGCACTGCATTCAAACACATAGCATCTGCATTGATAAAATAAATGAAAAAACAAATATATATAAAATAATTTTAAAACCTACACACATAGTAAAACCCATCCTCGTAAATCAATATTTTTTTTTATAACCATTGGCATAAAGCAGTACAACCCTTGAGGATCTGTTGAGCACCATGTGTTTTGCCTGTTTTATTCATTAAAGTCAATTTGGTCGTAAATGAATATGTAAAAAGAAAAAAAAAAAAACGTAAAACATGGTAACAATAACAACATTGTTAACATCTGTCAGTTTAAAATTATATAGAGAATAATAGAAAAGGCAGATAATAGTTAAGTATCACACGCTATAAACGAGGGAGTAGCCTAAACCAATTACTGTAATTCATGCAAGAGCCTTTAAGGACTCTTATAGTGATGGCGTTCATCATTCTCTTGGGGATGCCCAACATATTCATGTCTTGAAAAGAACGTTCAAGAAGGTTCACCACGGTAAGCTCTTCAACCATGAGACAAAATACAGTGTTAAATGATATGGTTGGCTGTTTCACTTTAGGGGCAACCAGCTCTACAGTATTCTGCAGTCGGTTTATAGGCTCTACGTCCTCTAGACAGTCTCACTCTTGTTGCTAGGGCTTTTATGTGAGTTCTTTTGGTTTGTATGAAAGTACGTCAGGTAACTAGAGCCGCCTAGTCTGATAGCTAATGAGTAGATGAGTGACAGTTGTTTGATTTCCTCAATGCTTTACCATCAACATTAGAATACAATTTTGTGGAAAGTTTTTTTTTTCCTTTCCTAACTCGAAGTATTTTCTGGGGGAAAAATGAAGGTTCCTATTTATTGATCATTGATTTATGGAATTTTGATCTACAGAAGTTTGACTGTATTGTGTACATGTTTACATTTTCTATCCAAGTTTTTTTTTTTTTTAAGAAAACATTTCATAAAGACAATTATGATTATTAATGAAAACTTATTAGCAATTAAACGATTTTAAAATTAACATTTAAAAGAAAGAATGAATGCACTGTTATTTCAAGTTTTTAACTATATATGATCATTTTTTTTTATTATTTGAAAATGAAATCTCAATCATGTTTTCTTTATAAAAATATGTTCTTCATCACTTGAATTCTATCACAGCTCAAATTTATGTGATTTTTTACTATGGAAGTACCCAATTTCAATGGGAGATCGGTTTGTTTTGACTTGGTCTTTTTTTCTTACCTGAACTAAACTTTTCCGTACCCTACTTCCTCTTTTTTTTAAAATATTTTTGTTTGAACAGCCAAAGTTGAAATTAGTGAAGTTGCCTTATATATAATTTTAAAAAATAAATGAAAAACATTATTATTAGAATTAAAATTATTGCTTTGTATTTTTTCTTTAGTTTTATTGAAACATAAATAAAAATATTTGCTTTGCGTTAAATAATAAACTTATTTTCCTTTTCTTTAAAGGAAACACACAATGATGACCTGAAGAACTTCAAGATTTGGGGTCCCACCTGCGATTCTCTTGATATGGTAAATGATAATGTTCTCCTTCCGGAACTAGAGGTAAGAAAAACAGCAATCATATTTATCAATTGTATATTTCTAAATTGTTTGTTTATTGAAGAAGGATTATAAATATTTTTGGGATTAAGATAACAGTTTTATTTTATTCTTAAATGAGAATGTTCATACATGTAATAATTTTGAATATTCAATATTGACTGTTCCATAATATTGAGAAAAGAGATGATCCGGGGTGGAGCTCATAAAAAAAAAAAAAAAAAAACTTAAAATAGTGAAAACTATTTTATTTAAGCCAATGTTTCAACCTAACTTATGAGGTCTTCATCAAGGATATGGTGGGGATGGAGTTCTGTGTAAAATTGAATATACATATTATATTGTTACATGTACGAATAATCATGAAACCTGGTTTTGGAATCAATTCTGCTTCATCTTCTGGTTTGCTCACTATATTATTATTCCAATGTGGTCTATTTAGTCATATGTTACATTTATCCAATATCTAAAATCATATTTTAAAAAAAGAAATTACAAGGAGTCTCTTATTGGTGTATTGTCATATTGACCTCTTTAAAGATTTTTGAAAAAAATTGTTTAGTTTCTAATATATCTTTATTAATTTTAATATGTAAGAGGTTGGTTATATTATATTTTTACTTTGTCTGAAAATTGGCTTATAAGGTTACTTACCCTATTTTGAAATACATTTTTATGGTTCACGGAAGTATTAATTATATTGGATATGCTTTGCTCCCAAAATATTAAAATACAACATACATTAAATTCATCATAAGTTTTATGAAGATCGTTAGACAAGAAAGTTTATATATGATGAAATTATAATAAAAAAACAACTTTCAATTTGCTTTTTAAAATATATTTAATTATATATTGACTGCTACTCAGCTAATTAAATGTCTATATTAAACTAAGAATGTGCAAAAGGGAAAATATAAACTTCTTGTTTAAATTTAATTTAATTATAAATATAAATTTTTACGGAAAATCACAAACTGTGTTATTATTAAGTGTTAAGATTTTAATATTGGGTACTCATTTCAATAAATAAATTATTTATTCCAAAACATTTTTATTTTTAAAGTTCTCAAACACTCTTCAATTTATTTTAAGTTTAAAAAATATTATTCATATTATTAATTCATGTATTTTTTCAATGTTATTTCATTATTATAAGCAGTAAGTAAACCAAAATTTTGATAAGACTGTGTTGTGATACAAAATTCTTAGAACTGTTATTTTATTGTAGATTGGAGATTGGCTGGTTTGGGAATGCATGGGTGCATATACATTGCCAGTTTGCAGCACATTTAATGGTTTTCCTGTTCCAAATGTATTTTATATTGCAACTGAAGATGTTTGGTGAGTAATTTCATATTCCTCTCTAAGCTTGCGAATTCATACATATTTTAGGTACTCTTTAATTCTTCACATATTCAACACTTAAGAAAGTTATAGTAGGATATAAACTCATTACTTTTTTACTCCATGTTCTGGTGATTATTGAATTTTAGAATCTGCTTTTGTGTTGATTTTATTGTAAATAGTTTTTGAACTAAAACTATGCTTTAGCTTAGTCTCTAATTACTGATATTTTAAAAATTACTTTCCCATGTTTATGCTTATATTATTGTCAATGTTAATGAACCTTTTGCTGGAACTTGGTTTAATTTACAACGTATACATTAATATTCCATACTATCCTGCAATAAGTAAGAACTTCATGGAGAGGGAGGATGCGCTGTTCCGGGCGGAACTGATTCCATCAATTGAGTGGAATGAGACCTTAGGAGATTTTGTTCCACCCGAATGAAATCTAAGATCAAAACATAAATATTTTTAGGTTTTACATGATTAGGTGCAGTGTTGGCCTTAGGTTGGGGCAATTGCCTCGAGGCGCTGACCTGAAGGGGTGCCCGTTGTCGGCACTGGCCGATCTACAGGGGGGCTAGCCACTTGTAAGAAATTGAAAAAAATGTATTAAAATTATTAATTTTAGCTTACCAATTAATCAATTGTATTAGAGAAATGTTGGTTGCAATAAAATTCAAATATTGCATAATATAAAACAGCTTAAGAAATAAATTTAATTTTTTGAGGTGGAGGGATGACGTCATTGCCCAGGAAGTCCGAATGGCTAAGGTTGGCACTGACTAAGTGATCAGAAGAAGTGCCAAAAAATTGTATATAAGCAATTTCTAGAAATTAAGGATAGCAAGTTGTAGAAGTGGATTAACAGAATTATGGATTGAACCACAACCACTTCAAAAATGAACCTTATAGACTTTATTTAATTTAGTCTTCTTACATCAAATTGAATTAAATTAAAATGTATTCTAGTTGAATTTTGAATATAATTTAATTCAAATCATGAATTTAATATGGCAATTAGGAAATTTTAAAATCATTAATTAAATTGGAATGAAGATGAAAAAGAACAAGAAATGGAATTGGACCTGCAGTCGGATTGCCCATCCCACTCATGGCTAGGACTTAATGTCTTCAGATTTATACTGTAGTAGGTTGTATACCATACCCATCTATAACTTGTCAGAAGTGCTTGATTATCATTGAAAATATACTAAATAGGTATCAACTATTGTAATTATGGTTCCTTGTCAATCAAGTTGACTTTGAATTTACTGCAAAATTATTAAAAATTCATGTTTTTATTTTGACAGCCGTTGTTTTTCAGATACTATCGAAAAGTCATTGACTTTATTTGTATTAAGGAAAGTTGTTTGTATTCATCTTGTAACTCAGATAGCCATTTTATCAAAAATGAAGAATATGAAGTATCTGTTGTCCATTTGTCAACAGATTCTAGTAGAGGCTTGAAAATGGATTAAAATTGTGGAAAATTATATGTAATATTTCCTTTATAAAAAGCTGTAATAAATTAATATATGCAAATAATTTTATTATTCTGGGACTAGTGTCCCTTTAGAGCATATTATAAATACAGAATATATATTAATATTCTGGTGTGTCCATAAAATACAATTAAATATTTACAGCATACCAGACTGAAACGACAAGAAACCGCTTGACATTTCCGATCATTTCAGCACTTACTAGACAAACGCTCTAAACTTCCAATTAATTACAAAAGACTCATATACATGACTATAATAAGGCCTCTTTGGACTTATGGAGTTGAGCTGTGGGGCTCCACTAAACCATTGAATTCCTCTCGTATCCAATCCTTACATTCCAAAATCCTTCGTAAAATCCTTAATGCGCCCTACTTTGTTACAAATAAAACCATCCATAATGACCTTAATATTTCTTATGTTTCAGATCTGGTCCAAACCAGATACCTATCCTTCCATAATAAACTTCAGAATCATCCCAACTCTCTCTTTTCTAATCTTTTGCTTCTTGTTCAATTCCTAATAACCCTCCAAGGCGTCTGAAAAGTAGATGCCCCCGTGATCTCCTAATGTAGACATATTATTAGAGTGCTACTATTGGGTAGTTTCTCAACAAGTGTTTTCACGTCATTATATCCATATGTTCAAATTTACTAAATGTATTTTAGTATTATATGAATACAAAAAAATAATAATATTTACAGGATGATTAGTAATAAAATGAAGGCACAGATAATAAAAAGATATAAAAATGTACATAAATACACTGACAGGCAAAAAATTCCACCCACTTGATTTTTCCATGTTTTCATCTAAAAATATTTCTGTAAAGTTGTATTTGTATATAATACATGGTATTTGTATATAATACTTAGTATTTATGGAATTTTATAATCTTTTTTACCTTTAATAATCAAAATGTGATTGTGTAAGAAAGATTAGAGAAAAAAAAAATTGAAAAACGAACCATTATTATTCTAAAAGAAATTAATTACATCATCGTTTAGTAGCACGTGTTTCCTCCTCTTGCCTTCACTACTTTTGAAGACGCCTCGGCATACTTTCCACCAGTCGGGAAATGTCCCTTTGCTGGAGGATAGCCCATTTCTCCCGAAGAGCCCTTTCAAGGTCCTGTAGTGTATCAGGAAGTGTTGCACGCACTCTTATTCGTCTTCCGAGATTATCCCATAAATGCTCAATGGGGTTCAAATCTGGAGAATGTGCTGGCCAGACTAAAACCTCAATATTGTTCTGTTGAAGGAACGTCTGCACTATGCGGACGACATGTGGGCATGCATTATCGTGCATTAGAATAGAACGATCACCGATTTCGTTGAGGATAGGCAACACATGAGGTTCCAAAATCTCATCTACATAGCGAATGGCCGTCAAAGACCCTCCATGAACAACAACCAATTCTGTGCGGCGCTCCATTGAAATCCCAGCCCACACCATTAAGGAACCACGTTGGAAAGGTTGGCTCTGGGAAAAATTAAAGGCTGCATATCTTTCGTTTCTTCTTCTCCACACCCTTTCACGCCCGTCTGGAGATCAAGAGCAGGTCTTGACTCATCTGTAAAAAGTACAGCACTCCATTCGTCCATAGTCCAATGGCTGTGTTCTCGAGCAAAAGCCAGCCGTATTCTGTGAGTTCTGGTCATCTCTAGTCCTCTTACTGGACAAAAAGCCATTAATCCATACTCATTTAATCTTCTCCGAGCGGTACGTTCAGAAATTTGCACACCTCGAACTTCTTCGAGCTGATGAATCGCTTGAACAACAGTAAGGTGCCGGTTTCGTAAAATTCTCAAAAATCCCGTGGTTCTGTTACCCTAGGCCGTCCAGAACTGGGCCTTCTATTGTAAGAACCAGTTTTCCGAAAACGCCTGACAGCGTCTCGTAAAGTTTCATATGGAACTCTGATGGCATTAGCTGCATATCTAATGGAACGTCCATCATCAATAAGTGCCACACCATGCGCAACATCCTCAGCACTAAGAGGCATTTTTAATATTGAAAAAATTAAAAGCTGGAGACTAAGAAATGTGCTGCAAGAAACGGCACTGAATTAATGATATTGAACAAAACATTTTGATTCTATAGAAAGTAAACATTGGAATCTAGAATCATTTCATTGAATTAAGGATAAAGGGTTATTGTCCTCTATATAAACATTCCTAATTGAAAACAAACAAAAAGATTACCTATTTATTCATTAAAAACAATAGAGCAATCCAAAGCAGAAATATTTTTAGATGAAAACATGAAAAGTGGGGGGAATTTTTGGTCTGTATAAAATAAATAGAGAAAGTAAAATAAATTAACAAAATATCAATAAATCACAAAATAATCAAAGTATCTGGGGGTACTTTGAGATTCTCATGACTTAGATTTTTAAGTGCATTTCATGATCAACCGGATTGGGAATGGAGTAGGCGTTTGAAGAGGAGAGATTTGATAGAGGATACTGACTTGGCGTATCGAATATCAGAGGGAATAGAATACCAGAGGGAGACAGCTTGAATTAATTAAAATGGATTTGTCAAGCGCAGCAGTTCGGTGAGGAGGAGGATAGAGGTCAGACATACATGATCTGGTGGGACGGGATTGAAAGGAGCATTTGAATAGTAGAATCTGTAGAATATAGGAAGGTAGCAAGGAAATACTGACGGCGGTAGGACGGAAAAAGCCACTTCAACTCAGTATAAAACTGGCTATTAAGCGTATCCCTTGAAATCCTGAAGACAAAGCATATTGAGCAATTCATTAGATGTTTAAGTTTAGCTTCGAGTTCCCCCGAGAGTCCACCATACCATATAGCCATAGGCGAAGTGGGGAAAAACAAATGATGAAACTAGGAGTTGAGGGGTTTTGAATAGAAGAAGATAATGTTGGTTATCTTGGTTGAATTGTTTCAGGAAATAGTACAGCAGGAAATTTGGAAGATGTGTAGTTTTCAGGAGAAGGTTTGATCGAGGGTAACTAAAAAGTTTTTAATGGTAGTATGGAATTTTGGAATGGAGATAGGTGAGTTTTTCAGGAGAAGATAGGGAGGTACTGAAATGGATTTGAGGAGCGAGGGGGATCCGATCAGGATGGCTTTTGTCTTCTCCGTATTTAATGTGAGCTTATTAAGATTTGCTCATGCGCATATGCTATTGATTTCTTGTTGCAGTTTCAGGATGCCATTAGGGGAATCCGTCGGGTTGAAGGAAAGATAAATTTGGATCTCGTCGGCATATAGGTGATACTGACAGTGCATGATAGAAGAAGGAAAATCATTGATATAGTTAGAAAAGAGGGTGAACGATAAATAGGAACCTTGTGAGACGCCTTTGGATAAGGGTAGAGACACTGATGGGGGGTTATTAGGGACTACAATGTACTGGGAGCAACCGGTGAGAAAGGATTGGAACCACTTAAGGACACTAGATGATAAGGAAATATTTTTAAATTTGTTTAAGAGTATATTATGGTCAACTGAGTCAAATGCTTTTGAGAAATCAAGATGGATCAGGATATTGAGTTTCTGTTGGTCTATGACTGTGTAGAGATCTTGGAAAATTTTAATGAGGGGGGAATGAGTAGAGTAGTCAGGTCTAAAACCTAGGAAGCAGTTCAAAAGGTTATTTTGTTCGAGATAGTGAGATAATTGGGATTGTACTATTCGTTCTAAAGATTTAAAAAGGTAACCTAACAGGGGGACGAGTTGCTGGATTAGAGGTTTTGTTCAGTGGACGAACAAGGGCAGTTTTTCAAGTGCTGGGAAAAGTGGAACTTTGTAGTGAAAAGTTATGGATATAATAAAAGATTGGGAAAATGGATGGAAGTGAGGATTTAATTAATTTAACTGGGATATTATCTGGTCCGGAATCATTGGTTTGGGATTTACGAATGGATTTAAGGTCATCAGGGGTAATATGAGAAAAGAAAAAAATAAAGGAGGGATAAATAAGGGGTGGAACTGGTGTTTGGAAAAAAGGGATTGGATAAACAGGAGACAAAATGAATGTTAAGTACGTCAGCAGAAATAGAGGTAATCTCTGGGTTTGGGTGGGTTTGCCTAAGGATAATTTATGGAGGATTGCCCACATGGCATTGGAGGTTGGAGTGCTGGATAAGGATTGTTGAAAGTAATGGGATTTGGCATGGCATATCAAGGATTGTGTACTGTTTCGAAGCAGCTTGAAGCTCGTATAGTCTTAGGAAAGTCGAGTGCGCTTAAACCTTCGTTTTGCCGCATCTCTTTGTTTAATACATTCTTTTATCGCAGGTGTCAACCAAGGGGCTGGGGATACTTGATTGTCCTAACTTTAAGAGGAGCATGACAGTCCAGGATAATGTGCAGATGATTGGTTAAAGTTTCTACCATAAAATTGACGGAATTAGAGGAGTATATGAAGTCCCATTAGATTGTGTCAAGATCAGGCGTCAGAGTTTAGGATGATAGGAAATTAAGGTTTCTAAAAGATATAGATTGGGGACAGAACAGCGTAACAGGAAGGTTATAGGAGACCTGTATGAGATTATGAGCAGACAAAAAAGGAATATATGTTACATTAAAGGTTTAAAATATAGTTTTTATGAATTTGGATGTAACTAGAGGCCAACAAAACTAATATGGGTTTCGGGTTTTGAGTCTTTTACTCAAATTTAACCACTGTTAAATTATTATAATTAGGGGTTATAATTATAATTAGGGAATTATATCACTATTTCACTTATTATCAAAGATAAACTAAAGTAGTGATTGTATTCCTAGGTACTTATGGCTTGTATTTGAGTAAAATAATTTGTTTGTTACTTACAGTAGTTTTTTGCCCATTTATAGATGTGACAAACTTATACTTCCCCTAAATGTGAAATATGGAAAGTCTAAAATTATCTTGATGGAAAGTCTAAAAATTTAAAATAAATTACTTCTAATTATAGAAATCACTGTAAGCAGTGTTAGGTTATATTGAAATGCTAAATATACCCTCTGCAGACTATGCCATTGACGAAGTTGTCCCCATCGCTCTTGGAGTCTATAGATATCATATTACGCAGAAGTGTTAAGGTGATAGTAGGTATACCAGCCAACACGTGCTCGACTACGATGTATTCACCATGGAAATACAAGAGTCTGGTTTTTTTGTGGTGTCAGTAGGAGGCTTCTCTTCAGATCTGCTCTATTTTCCAGAAATTAGGCAATGTACCAGATGCCCTCTTTCAGGCAATTTTTGATTTTGGGAATGAAGTTTGAAGGTGTGCTGATCTGTTTAGCATCAAAGTGAATAATACAGAGGCCTTACTATCAGTCATGAAAGTTGGCAGTCCCTGAGGAAAAAGTCCTTTGATGATAGGAGCAAATTTAAGTGACAGAGAATCGATGTGTCCCATTTTAAAGTGAACTCTTGTGCAAATAAATTTATTTACGATAAAGAATTCCTCGCTGGATCAGAATTGACAAATGGTATGAAATTAAATGTCAACTATGCTCCTCTCCACGGAGTACCAAGGACCTGAAGCCCGGCCAATGGAAATGTTGGATCCTTCTGCCACAAATGTGGCCGAAAATCAGAAACCCTAGCTCAGGTATTGGGTAAATGTCCAAATAACTTGCTCCTTGTAAAATGGTGGCACTATAAAATAAAGAAACATCTATCTTAACTCCTTTAAATGGACAAATTTAAATGTTTCATCGAAGTTTATAGATACAGAAGACTGCGTTTAATGCAACAGAAAAGGAGACACTCTTAGTGACTTCCATGATCAGGTTTCAAACAAATGATCAAGATCAAGCAAGACGTTGAGGTGCAGGCAGAGCAAGATGAAATTTATAAGAAATGCATACTCTATTTAAAAGAAAAATATAGGGATGAATTTGGTAAGAGAAACTTCTCAATCAAAGGATTGTGGTTTAGATGTAGGGGACCTATCCCTCTTACTACTAGCTCGGGTTTCGAAGGGAGCAGATGGAGACTATTATTTTAGACTCGTTAGGAATCCTCCATCACCACATATATTAATCTTTGTTATGGTTAAATGGTCCTAACTAGCTATTTTGTTTTGCTTCTAAGTGATATCTCTTGGATTGATGAGTATGCTGTGTGATTTAGCAACTTAACGTTGTTGAGGCCAAGCAGTATTATTGTAGTTCTTTCTTCTTGAAATTAAAAAACATATTAAATGATTCCTCATTTTGCTTTCTTTACTTATATACTTAAAACAATAATTAAAAAATACATAGATATTATAAAAATAATAAAAATATTTTCCAAGTACATTGTTTGTTTTTTTAACTATTTTTTTATTTTCGTTTATTATTTTCATGAATGAACCTTCACTATAAACCAAAAAAGAAAATTTAAGAATGCCTTAAAATTTTAGATTTTATGTTTCAAAATAAATCTGAATGCTGATTCACCATATTTTATTTTAGTGTTATTGGTTAAAAGTGAAAATATTAAAACTTAATAAAACTGTAGACAAATAAAATTAAACAAGGCTAATCTTGAAAACTTGTGTTACTGACATTTTAATTCTCAATCAAAATTGTCAAAGCTGTCTTTTAGTCAAACAATCTTTTATCTTCTGCAAAAATTAATCTCCAATCCATTTATTATATAATAATTTTTGAATATTTGATGAACTTTATATGACTAAACAGCTGGTAATAACAGTCATAATTAAATCTGATTGTATAAACGATATGTCATGTAAACAAGAATATAATTATTAAACAACATAAAAATTTAGAGAATTGTCAAATATAAGCAAGAATATTCTTATACATATAAATTTTTGTTTTCTCAATATCTTCAACTGTAAATTTAAATATCAGTTGTTTAAACCAGTTTGCAAAAAATGATCATTTATATTCTGTTTAATATGGTGTTATATTTTTCAGGAAGGTGGTTCAAGATATCATAACCCTGGCAAATCCTGAAGACCAATTTGATCCTGTCAACTTCAATGTTACTTTACTTCAAACTGTATCTTCTTAATATCAACCCTTACATTCCACCATATCGGTCAAGACTTCATTTTTAATAATTGTTTTTTAATGCATTTTTTTTAAATTTGTACAATTTAAAGTCAATGAAGAAATTTATTTTCTTATTTGAATGTAACAAGGAAGAGATGATTATTTAAAATTTTAACAAAAATGATGAAAACGAATTTTGACAAACTAGGCTTTGGCTTAGATAACTTCTGGTTCTTACATATATTTTTTTTTTTTGTCATTATTATAATCATCTTTTATTCTTTTCCTTTTTCAATATTCTTATTGTCTTGGCATTTATTATTAATCTCTTGTTTTTTGGGATATTCATTTGACTTTATTTTATCTTTGATCCTTTATTTGGGATCATAATGGAGGTAAATTTGAAGATTTCTGTGAATTTTGGGCAAAGAGGCAGCTGTTTTAAATCAAAAAAACTTACAATGTTAATTAGCATTAGTAAAAAATATGAAAAAAAAGTTTTATTTTTTAAAATCCTATTATATCTATCCACTTCTAAATCCTTTTCAATATTGTAGTATGTAGTATAGTTTTCCTTAAACCTTTGACAGCAGGACTGGATACCTCTTCTAGTCTATCATGGAAGTGTTAGCAGTCTGCTATTACTTCCTATCGAACTATCTCTTTTATTCATTAGATAAATAATATGTTTTGTTCATTTTATCTGTATCTACTAAATTTTTTATGAGTTAGGAAATGCTTTCGTCCATTCTTTATCCTATAGGCATCTCTCTTGGAGTAGCAAGCTTCTGTTTGAGCTTCTTTTATACCTTCTATTAATATATTTTACTTACAACTTGGTCAATTTTCTATGCATTGGTAGTTACTAATAATAGTTATATGTAGAAAAACATTTTCAATTGATTGAGAAATAATTATTAGGAACTATAATGTATTTTTTTTTTTTAATGAAGCTTGCTCATCCATTTCCACCTTAGTTATGTAAAAACTAATGTTCTATTATTTTGCTGGTTATTTCAATAATATCTTCTTTTTTTTTTATAAAGTAACATATATTAAGAAATTCTCACAAATTGTAGAGAGGTCAGGGAAAACAAATTTTTAAAAAGGACACAACAGGTTAGAAGTTGATGTTGGAAGAGTTGCAGTTGTGGCAGTCTTCACATGAATTGTTTGTGATTTTTGACCTGTTAATGAAAAGTTAATCTTCATTCTGGAACATTTGAACATGTAAGAATAACAAAAAATGCACAATGCAAACAGCATTTGTCTGGCTGTATTAATCAGAACAATTAAAACAAACTATAATACGAGTTTGAACATTGTGAATGGATAAATATATGCATATGTATACATATTTCCCAAATTTATATAAATATTTTTTCTTTGCATGCATGTAAATGACTTGTATTTAAGGAGATTTAGAAATAAATAGTATTTAAAAATAATAGTGAAGAAGTTTTTCAAATGTTAATGTAAGTTCATGGTCAGTGCATTTGTTTGAAATCTAATTCTATCTTGTTATACCAAAAAGTAATGAATTTAAATTTTTCATGGGTGTTAAATAGTCAGGGCGCAGTCATTTTAAGATTTTTATTGTTGCTGACGTTTTCAACCTTAGTTTCTGGGTCATCATCAGGACATGTTAGCACTTCATGGTGCACTTATCCACACGGAAATTAATATGAATTTAATGCTCTGCAATATTGGGTTGTCCGGAAAATAAATGCAGGATTATGAGTTTTAATTAAAATACCCCTCTATATAACAAACTGTTTGCGTTTACTGGATTATTCATTTGTATAAATGTCAACACTTATTATTCCTCTTCCAGAGGATAATGATTGTTTACCTCTGTAGCATTTTTCTGCTTATAAATAATTCAGTCTTTACTGAGATGTCAACTGTTATACATATAATATTGTTGGAATGCGGCCCAGACGTCCAGAAATATCAATGAAGGCTGAGGCAAGAGCAGCATTAATGACTGCACTGTTTAAAGGTGTTTAAAAAAAAAATCGGGAGAAAGACTTCATTCTTGAAGACAAAGAAGGCCTTGGAAGGACTAACTTTCTTCATGACCATGTTCTGCAGGCTTTGCTGGAAGAAAATCCCAGAACTTGTTCCCCACACATTAAACGACCACCAAAAAAAACAAAAAAAAAAAAGTTATGAAGTTTTTCTGTACACTTCTTTTTGGAAACAAAAACGACCCTTTTCTGTCTTGAATTATTACTTGTAATGAAAACTGGATTTTTTACAATAATAGTAGACATTCTGTACAGTAGCTCAACAAATGAGAAGCAGCAGAACATTTTCCAAAGCCCACAACTCATCAGAAAAGGTGATGGTTACTGTTTGGTGGGTTTCATTTGGTTTGATACACTACAGCTACATCGTATTGTAACCAAATTAATGCAATGCACCAGAAATTGGCTATAATGAAGCCATCTTTGGTCAATAGAAGGGGCCCATTTTATTGCATGACAACTCCCGGCCACATGTCTCCCGTGTGACGTCACAAAAACTTGGAGCTTTGATATGAAACTGTCACATCCGCCTGACTCTCCAGACCTCTCGCCAACGGATTATCATTTTTCTAGACTCCTGGATCATTACTAACGTGACAAAATTAAATATGCAAAGGGAATTAGAAATGCGTTTTTGGAGTTTGTCGATTCTAAAGATGAGAAATTCCATTCCGAGGGAATAGAAAGGTTGCTAACATGTGGGCAGAAATGACACAAACTGGATGCCAGCAAATTAATTAGGCTTGGAGATAACAATTAAAAAATGTTTTTGGATTTTTATTTTATTTTTCTTTATTTATTTTTTGGCGCTACGATCCTATAAGAACCAGGGCCTCTCTTGTTATTTTTCTCCACTCTTCTCTGTTCCTTATAAAAAAGTAAAATCTACAAGTTATTGGTATGCATTTGAAGAACAATGATTCAGCTTTCTAATAGTCCGGGAGCCAGTGGCAAAAAAGGTGTTTTATTTTATACCAAGGTTTGACCATATCTTAAGCCCTCAAAAGAAAAATGCACGTCTGCCATCATATAGCCGCCGGAATAGAAAATGACGGCCAGGTGAATACGATAGTCTGACGAATTCCTCAATTTTCTGGACAGTACGAACAATTTCCTTCGTTTAAATCATTATTTGATGCCTTAATTCACTATCGAAATCACACGGATATTTTCTTATCTCAAGACACTTTTAGTTCATCCTCCTTCACAGGCCATTCCTTCAATTGAGTTTAATTCTTCCAACTTTAGAAACTTTATGGACACATTTGAAGATAATTATAAGGCCTTGAAAAATCTTAAACTCAATAACCTCTCTTATTTTGTTTTACTTCGTCTCAGACTGAATGTTGTAGACCCTAATCCCAGAAGAATGTTTGAGAATAGTCTCAGCGAAGAGACAGTTCCTAGCTTTGAAGAATTTTGCAAATTTGTTAGGTCACAACTTAGAGTGAAAGAAATGTGTTCCGAGCCTTCTACATCCAAAATTTCACAGCCTAAAGTTCAGCGAGAAACATTTTTAACCAGCAATAAACCGGATAATCAGAAATTTAAGTTTTAATACCCAATCTGTAAATTAAGACAGAAAGTTATAAACTGCCAGTATCAGTATCTGGATGCTGATGTTAATGGTCGTTATGACCTACTAAAGAAGTCTGACTTATGTTTTTCTTGTTCGGGATCTCATCCCTTGCCTAAATGCCAAAGTAAAGGCTGTTGCCAAGTTTGTGGCAAAAAGAGTCAACATACGAAGTTATATAAGGCTGCAAACACTGAGCCCTCCCAGTCTCAAGTAACAAACAATTCTCGTGCAGTTTCGTGCAATTCTCATGCTACCACCAACTCACAGATACTTCAGGATACTGCCTGGGGTAGTATTTGTTCTAGTTCAGGTAAGTGGTCATGTCCGCCTCGCCAGAAACCCTTTCCCATAGGTCGTGGCCTATCATGGAGTCATTAAAGATTTTTCCACGACAAAGCCTAGGGTCGTATTTAACGGTTCAGAGAAGATGGTGGGAGAGAACTCACTGAATGATTTATTTTTAACCGGTCCTAACCTCCAGACTGATATTGCGGAACTTATAGACCATTTTCCAGTTGCTTTCCTATGGTCTTGACATGCGATATAAAAATGATGTTTAGGTGTATCCGCTTTGCCGAAACTAATTAAAACTTATTACTTTTTTCGGGAGGGGGAAATTGAATCTTCCGATATAAATGGATATATCAGTCCGGTAATCTGTTAGATGTACATTGCAGCGTTTGTGGCTGCTTAAGGATGTTTGGGATGATGAGTTTCCTTCTAGTGTCTTCAGTGTGGAAGGTTTTCCTTGAAGAATTTCCGATCTTGAGAAATGTTTGCCTGCCTCGTTGTATTGTCAGCCAGAACATCATCCATCCATCTAATCGCCTTTTCAGACGCTTCAGAGAGAACCAAGAGAGTTTTGGTTAGATATTTAGCAAAAAGATTTCAATAAAAACTTTCTTCATAACAATCAATCAACAATCAAAGCATCGTATACTTTCTACTTCTTATCTGGCTTCACGACCGACCTGATGAGTCTAAGCCTGCTCCAACAAGGATTGCCAGTCCTCCCTATTTTGTGCCAGTGCCTTCCAATTCCTTAAACCATGCAGTTTTCTGGGGCCCGCAGCCACACAATCCTTCCAACGAAGTTTGGGACGTACTGCAGTCTTTATACATCTAATTTCGGTTTTTGTTCGGGTTCTTCAGGAGCCTTGCTCACACACACCTCTATATATTCTGCGGAGGACTTTCCTTTCAAATCTTGGAAGGGCTTGTTCCTGGGCTTTAGTCATCGTCGAACATTCTGAGCCGTGTGTAAGAACAGGACTAATTAGCGTTTTTTTTTTAATCTATGATTTATTTTGAAGAGAAGGATGGTTGGGGTGATCATTCAAATTAAAATGGCAAAAATAAATAATTTTATTTATTTTTACATTCGCCGACGTTTCGGCCCGTTTCTTCATCAGGGCTGGGAAAAAGAACCAGATAACAATAGGTATAATAACATTGAATAATACAGGATTAAGATTAAAAAATGTGAAAGGTATAGACTAATGATTTTAAGCAGAAAAACTTAACGTAAAATGAAGTAGATAGAATGAGCATTAAAGTAAAACAAAGTAGGTAGAATGATAACAGTAAAAGAGAACTAAGAAAGAAAATAATAATAACGGTAACAAAGCATGAACCAATGAAATAAGTATAATAAAATATAAGGTAAAATAAGAAATGAAAATGGTAATCTAGAATAAAGTGTAAAACAAAGAAAAGAAATATGAAGTTATATGAGGAAATAATAGATATAAATAGAACATTAAGATATCGTAAAATCTATCAAAAAATATAATGTAAAAAAGATGTATGAGGAAATGTATAATATATAGAAAATAGAAATGGAGATATGAATAATAGAGGTGGAGATATGGACAATAGAGTGACGGGAAGGACGAAGAAAAGAAAAAAAAACTAGAATAATAAAAATAAACAAACCTGCTCTACAAGAAGTAAAGTCAGACAGACGCAATTATTGCGGGAGAGACGGGAGCTGGCAGATGGTGCCCTATTCAACGTTTGACCGAAAAAAGATTTATTTTCTCATATTTTCACATTCTCTAATTAGTGTCTTATAGATCCGTATTTTAGAGACTTAGTACAAAATGCTACTCCTTATATGTTTTTGCAACCTCTGACAGTTTTCCAGATTTCTTTACAAAGTATTTATTATCATCCAGCGCCATTTTCACTAAACGAATCAGCCAAGGAGGAATCTTTAATTCTAACATTGCCTTCTTCTCTGTTCACGGAGTCGTATGGTTGTTTAAAATCTATGAAAAGATTATGACTTTGGATCTGAAACTCTCTTGTTTTCTCCATTAGAACTCGCAGCTTGAACATCTGGTCAATAGTCGACTTTCCCTTACTAAATTAACATTGATATTCATGATCCGTGTAAGTAAGAAGTCTTCTAAATAGGATACGATTTTGTATCCACATGGAAGGAAAGAAATATCTCTGTAGTTACTAAATGTTAATATGTCACCTTTTTTGTGTATGGGACAGTCTATGGTTATTTTCCATTTATTAGCCAGTGTCTCTTCTCTCCATATTCATGTCCATCAGAATTTTTTCATGCCCACTGTTCTTAAACAGCTCTGCTGTAATGTTGTCAATTCCAGAGACCATAATTGTTTTTAGCTTCGCCGTTGCATCTACTATTTTATCTTTGTCAGGAGGTTCAATAGAATCATCGGTGTCCATTTCTCTTAAGTTGGGTGCAGGATTTAGAATTTTCTGTCGGTCTCCACTCATCATTTCCTCAGAGTTATCCGCCCAACGACGCATAACTGCAACATCTTTTGTTAAAGAGCGATCTAT